CATCACAGCTATTTCAAAATGGCACGAGCATTACTGCAGATGTGAAGAGCTGAAGACAATGATGGGGAAGCTCGCACATCTGCAACCAGCTTTGGTCAATCGGTCGTCTGTTGGGGTTGGAAGCTCTACCTCTTCCGCCATGCTGACCAGGTCTTGCACCTAGCGACTATTAATAATCTGTCAAATGGCTTGTCAAATGTCATTTGAGTTGCCAAAAGTTTGGTTAAACTCTCATTTGAATTGAACAGAACGATCAATTCAAAGGGTTTTAAATATTATTTTCAATACTAAAAAATTCATTATTTATTAACAAAAAAAAATATTCTTTACTTGTACATTACCATTATCGATTCAAATAGGTTCAGCGGCGGAAATCTAAAATTTTATTTCCCCAAAAACACAACGCAGTGACTTGTAGCTTGCCTTGGACGGGCCCTGCATCAAAATGTGTCGGGGTTACCGAAATGAAGGGTAAAGATTTCTCAAAAACGCAAAGCCGCCGAGCTATAAATCACAACTTTCTGCAACGTTAGTTAACCTTAGTTAAGTGACTCAGCTTAGGTAGCTATTTTCCCATTATTCCAAATGAACCACCTGAACAAACGTACCCAAACAGCTGCAAAGGTAGTGTAACATTGTTATAGCACTAATAACGTCGTCATCCTCTTGCACTTATCCCACCTAGCTGGGGTCGGCGCAACATTTGAATCATGTTGTAAGCGATTTTGGCTATGTTTTTTACGACCGGACGTCTGCCTGAATGGGCCAATTACTTGTGGGTCACACAAATACTTGTCCCATGTGGGAATCGAACCCACGACCCTCGAAGCCGAAGCCAATAACTTAGCATAATACCATCCTGATTCGCAGAGTACTAAAAGAGATGATAGTAAAAATTTAATCTGAATAGGAATATTAAGTAATTTATATGTCAATATTATTAATTTATAAATAAGAGGATTTAGTGGAATTAAATTTAAAACGTTGGAAGCGATGGTGAAATATATCGACTGTTACTATATTTATAAGCTTAATGTGCTCATTGAGGAATAGTGACGTTCATTATTAAATATTTTTATTCACAAAATTGTGATGGGAAAAATTAGACGTTAACATAAATTTGTCTACCCGCGTAAAACCAAGGTGAGCAAAGTGTATTACCATATAATATTATTCTGCCACCATAACAATATTTAAATGTTAATAAAGTCATTTACAACCAAAATCTGCTGCGTTAAATTTTATTACATTATTAACTTGGTGTAAAAAAAAATCAAAAGTACTACTTAATTTTAATAAGTGCGGCAAAAAAGGTATTAGTATCACGTGAAATTATCGTTTATTGCGGCTTGAAGGGCGTCTCTTTGGGCAGATGAACGGCCGAAGGTATAATTACAAATATGACCGGCGTCCGACTGTCTGTAGAATCGAGGCCAGGCTCAGATATATTAAACAATATAACTATACTAGTTGACCTTAGTGAAATTTTCGCACAGTAATAATTATTTGTAAATGAAATCTAAGATATTTTAAAGAGTTAATAATATTTTCGCCGAATCGCCGAAAGGTCAAATTGTTATTTAAAATTATTAATTTATTAAAATTATTACTTTAATTTATTTAAAATTATCAATTATTTAAAATTTTCAAAAAATATAACGAATTCGATTCATGTAGAATTATAAATATTTTAAGCTGTCTACGGTAACTTCTCAATTTTTAGACGTATAATTTTTAATTCTACATTTTAAACAGGAAGTCCCATTTATAATTATTAAAATTTGTATATTCTTATATCACAAAAATGTTAAAGCTATATTGATAGTTTTAATAAAATAAACTTATTCGATTTTATATAATAACGAAACAAATTATTAGTAATTTTGGGTTGAAAATGTTACTTTATTCAGAATCGATTGAGAGTCGTCCATTTATATTACTTATTAGATATATAATCACTATTGTATTCAAAACATTGCCTCGGCAGGGGTACACATGTGGTTGTTTTCCAATATGAAGTGACGTTATTATAGATGAAAAAATTTTAATCTATAACAAACACTCGTTTAACTTAATAAAGCAATACAATCAGTTTTTAAATGATAGCTCTTACGAATTCTGACATGCCTAAGTGATAAAAGACTAAAGATAACTGAAGAGTAAAGCATAGTACCTACGTTAGGAAAACTGGAATTTTATGAAACTGGCCGCTTAAAATACAAAATAAAATGAAAAACCGATCACGAAATCCGAAAATAGGGTTACATGTTACTTTTGAATTTTGCCAGACTGTTATTCGTTTTTACATTGTGTCCCTATTGTTATTATAATGAATAGTGAAAATTTTCTCTTAACTATTTGTTGCACACAATGTAAACCTCACAAGCTCATTCCTTTGTTCATATATGTAGTTCCCGTACAAACTTAATAACAAGCGAGCGGGTATCCTAATAAATTCTCGATTTTACGGACTTTTTTCAAATCTAATATATTCTTACATATTTTTGGTAATGTAGATACTTACGTATTACGTATTACTTACATATTTTTGGTAATGTAGATCTTTGCTACAAATTTTATTTTTTACTTATAAATTACATTGATAATTTTATTTATTTATTTATTACTGCATACTCCTTGAAAAGTGATAACAAAGGGCGGACGATGTCATTAGCTGCCTATATCGGTTGGCATTATCTACCAGTCAATGCGTGAAAAGTAAATGTGGTCGGTGCAATATATGAAATAAAAAAAAATATATTAATTAGCTTGCTAAGACAGCGGTATAAATACTAATCAAGATGGGGGTGATTCTGAGTGAATTTTGGTTGACTGAAATAATATGCTGTGCATGCCTAGTCCTACGTGGACTAGGCATGCATCCAATATTACTTATTGAAGACTGCGATCTCTGTGTAAAGGTGACAATGTATATTAAAACATTACCTATTTATTTTATTTTACCATTACATCAGTAGTAGTTATTGGCTATTCTCGTGTAAATATTTAGTAAGTCACGTGTATATTTTGAAAACATAATAACATAAAGCAATTTAGTTATGCATCCACCCCAGCCCTCTGTCTTAGATTAGTAAAGAACTATTTCGCTGACTTTGCATGGCCACCGGGCAGTTCATAGAATTATAGATAAGGATGCGATTCTTAGAGTTGTTTGTGAGAGAGATGATTGTAAAATGCATTTAAATATTACACACATAATATTCTGCCTCCAAATCGGCAACACGTATTGTAATTTTTATTTTTAAAAACGCTTTTGACCAAAGTGAAAGTTTGACTGGCGCAGTCGGTAGGATCGCTTCGATAAAGCTGTGCCGTCTTTCGTATAGTTTCGGGTGTCCAAATTCGCCCGGAATACGTGAGCGCGGCGCGAATAGCTGTGAGGCGATCCACGAACCAACAAATTTGTCGAGCTCTACCAAGGACATCGAATATGGGAGTAGCGGTCGGTTGGTGAGTAAAACTCTTTGCCATCCTTATCCTATAATCACTCCCGTATTTTTCATAAAAGGGTTTTAGGTTTAATAAAATTAAATTTAGCTTTGTTATTTTTGGGATTAGACATCTCCCATTATAACGTGACTGGTTACTTAGTATAAATCTCTAGTAAGTGCCAAATTAGTTCTAAGAATTTATATTGTGTGTCATTTAATGTGTTTAAAAATTAATAACTGGTCTTTAAATTGAGAAAAAATTTTATTCATGTGTCATAGAATTTATTTACCAATTTATATTATTTTACTATTGTAATCGTAATAATTTATTTTACACTTCTATTTTAAATTACGTAATTTTTATACCATTATTGTATTTTTGTCATTATTTTATTGTGTGCTTTACATTGTAATTTTGTCTTGTCATTGAAAACTTCAGTGCTTTATTAGAATCTCATAGTCATATATACATTAATCTTTTAAAATGGAAACAAGACCGAGTGATGTTCCCTTGCCAGAGCCAGTACTCGTTATACCCATTCCGAGCGAAATGTTACGGCTCATCCCTTATTTCGGAGGTGATAAAAGACATCTCAATATTTTTATTCGAAAATGCGAGTATGTAATTAATAAATATAGAGGACATGAGGAACAGAACATTTATGTCTTTCACGCGATTACTAGCCGTCTTACCGATGACGCAGCTGCGCTGTTATCAGAACGCGAAGACATAACAACTTGGACCGCCTTAAAGGAATTGTTAGGACAACATTTCGATGACCCTCGTAGTGAGGAGTGTATAAGTATCGAATTAGAATCATGCAAAATTAACGGGTGAAAATTACTTAGACTTTTGAAATAGAATTCAGAATATCCGCTCACTGCTTATTTCAAAGGTAAATTTATTAACCGACGCAGATATCAAACGCGCTAAAATCGCAATATATAATCATACGGCATTAAATACCTTTATAATTTACCGGAACATTTAGTACGTATTGTAAGGTTAAAAGCACCCGCGACTTTAGAACAAGCCTTATCTATAGTCATAGAAGAAGTAAACTTCCATGACCAGTACAATATGCGGAATAAAATCCACGGTAACTTATCCATACCTAGGCCACCAAATAACATTACCCCGGTTGGTTTTAAATATATATATAACACCAAATAGATTTCAATTCAGACAACAACAAAATCCAGCGTTCAAACCGCAGCACTTTGGAAACCGCTTTCCACAGTTTGGGTACCGTCCTCAGTTAGGGTCTAACACACAATTTGGGTACCGCCCGCAGCTGGAACCACAACAGCAATTTGGATATAAACCCCCACAGATAGGATATAAGCCACCTCAATTTCACAATAACCATCCACAGTTTGGGTATAGACCGTCACAGACAATGATACCACAACAGTTCGGTTACAAACCGCCCCAAATACAACCTCCTCGTTTCCAAGAAACTGACGTTTCAATGAGAACAGTTGCCCCAAGGCCACGACCTCAAACACCTCAACAGGGCTTTAGGTTGAATGAGCTTACCTTAGGCAATGACGACCCTTGTGGCGGCCGACTGGAGGAAATACACAATATTCCCAAACAAAACCCTCGCTGTGCTCGAGACGCTACTCGGTGATATGCAGGCGGCCATTAGGCGAGTTGCACCTCGACCGGTAATTGTGGCGGGCGACTTTAATGCGAAGAATACGGCTTGGGGATCGCCTGCCACAGACGTGCGGGGGATTGCGGTTGAAGTCTGGGCCACGGAATCTGGGTTGGCACTTCTCAACTGCGGCACAGCACAAACCTGTGTTCGGGTTCAAGGGGGGTCCATTGTAGACCTTTCCTTTGCGAGCCCGGCGGTTGCTCAGGCAGTACGAGATTGGCGAGTTATGGGGGAGGTGGAGACGCTGTCGGATCACTTATATATCCGCTTCAGCGTCTCCTCCTCCAGAGGGATGCAGTTGGTCCCCGCCTTCCCTGCGATGGCCTCAACGTTTCCGCGATGGGCCCTCGCGGGGTTGGACGTTGACCTGCTGAAGGAGGCCGCCATCGTCGAGTCCTGGAGCTCCCCGCCTCCGGGGACGACGGACGAGGAGGCGATGTGTTTCCGCAGCGCGATCACCAGGGTCTGCGATGCCTGCATGGTCCGCGTGCGGCAAAGACCTCAAAAGAGGCAGGTGGACATTGCGGATCTTCGGCGACGCTGTGTCGCCGCCCGCCGGAAGTTCCAACGACAGCGGCGGCGGCGGCCGCGGAATGAGGAACTGAATGACCATCTGCAGAGGGCGTATCACGACGCCAAAAAATCCTTGCAGCTGGCCATCCTGAGGGCCAACGACACTGCCTGGGGTGAGCTCCTCGCGGGCTTGGACCGCGATCCCTGGGTTCGTCCATACCGAGCAACCAGGGGCAAGCTTGGTCGGGGTCCGCCGCCTGCTGAATCTATTTCACCGGAACGGCTGGCCACGGTGCTGGAGGCGTTGTTCCCGGCCCCAACTGGCGTTATCCCACCGGTGCATGAGCCGGAAACCACCGAGGAGGTGCCTCTCGTATCCGAGGGTGAGATGGGAGCCGCACTTCTGCGGCTTCGTGGGGGCAAAACGGCCCCTGGCCCCGATGGTGTGCCCGGCAGGGCTCTGGTCTTGGCCTTGGGGCCCCTAGAGGAACGCTTGAGGGAGCTTTTCACCGCTTGTCTTCGGCGTGGAGAGTTCCCGCAGTGTTGGAAGGCGGGCAGGGTTGTTCTCCTTCGTAAGGAGGGACGCCCTGAAGAATCGCCCTCGGCTTACCGGCCAATCATCCTGTTGGACGAGGCCGGTAAGCTGTTGGAGAGGGTGGTCGCGAGGGTCCTGACCTGTCCGACGCCCAGTACGGGTTCCGACCATCGCGCTCCACAATAGACGCCATATTGTGTGTCAAGGGGTATGCGGAGGAGCAGGCGGCAAACGGCAACGTGGTGTTGGCGGTGTCTCTTGACATCGCAAACGCATTCAATACCCTGCCGTTCGCTACCATCGAGGAGGGCCTCCGATACCACCGACTCCCCCGGTACCTGCATGCATTTATTGTGGCGTACCTACGGGGAAGGAGCGTTGTGTGTGTAGGGCGCGATGGCGTCCTCGTACAAAAGGCAATGACGACCCACAGTATTATTATGACACTTATTATGACAATGACGACAATGCGTATGACATGACATACCAAATATACGACGAAGATTCGACGAACTATCACTATAACGAAGAATCGGACGGAATGACAAATGATGACTTACCTAAAAAGGACAATGAAAATTTTCGCATAGAGGCCTCACCTACGAAAGAGAAATAATAGAATTAAATTGTGACCCTAATCTAAAACTACCTTATATCTATATTCCAGAGATTGACGCTAAGTTAATGATTGATACCGGAAGCACTAGATCTTTCATGAGTCCCCGTATCGCTTATCAATATTTTCCCGAATATATTAGGTACGAACCATTTCAAGTAGTTAGTACTCATGCCTCTAGTAGACACGACGAAACTATTATAATCCCCTTACTACCGACTTTTAACACTACTGACTGTCACAAATTCCACTTATATGACGTAGATGAACGCTTTGAAGGACTCATTGGTAACGACCTGCTTAAACAATTAGATGCGATTATCGACCTTAAACATTAAACATTATAAACTAAAACTACTTCCATCCCTATTGTTAATAATCTAAATTACACTATAACATTACCGCCACGTAGTGAACAGCGTGTTAGGATTCCCACGGACATACATGCAGGAGAAGCCATAGTTGATTTTATAGAATTTACTCCCGGTTTAAGAATGCCTTCCGCCTTAGTAAACTGTGTTAACGGATACGCACAAACTGTGATTCAGAATACACTAGAAATACCTTTATCGGTGACCATAACTAAACCTTTTACAGTAACGAAATTTGACACGACCGAATGTAACTTAAATTTTTGTGACCATAGTACAGTAATAGACACAGACAGATTACTTAAAGATAATTTAAAAAGACTTAGACTTGACCATACAAACGGCGAAGAACGAAGTAAAATAATTAATCTTTGCAATGAATACAAGGATATATTTTACTGCGATCAAATTCCACTTAGCTTCACTAATCAGGTGAAACATAAAATTCGGACAAAGAATGAAGACCCTATTTATGTTAGACCATACCGACAGGCCCCCGCACAAGCTGCCGAAATTAATAGACAGACTGAGAAATTACTAAAGGACAATATTATCCAAGAGTCACACTCCCCCTGGAATGCACCGGTTCACTTGGTTCCCAAGAAAAGCGATGCGTCCGGTGAGGTTAAATGGCGAATGGTAATAGATTATAGGAGACTTAACGAGATTACTGTTGACGACCGATATCCACTTCCCAACATTACTGACTTGTTTGACAAATTAGGAAAGAGCCTCTACTTTACGACACTTGACTTAGCTAGTGGTTACCACCAGATAGAAGTAGAAGAACAGGACCGTGAGAAAACCGCCTTTAGCACACAAAACGGATATTATGAGTTCTTACGAATGCCGTTCGGGCTTAAGTCAGCTCCAGCGACTTTCCAAAGAACCATGGACAACGTACTGAGAGGTCTGCAAGGACTTCACTGTATGGTGTACCTGGATGACGTCATTATATTTTCCACAAATTTAGACGAACATATACAAAAACTACGAGCCGTTTTCGACAGACTGAGACAGACAAATTTAAAGATACAATTAGATAAGTCGGAATTTTTACGAAAAGAAGTTATTTATCTTGGCCATACTATTACTAACAACGGAATTAAACCTAATGATGACAAAATTTCAGCTGTCCTTAATTATCCAATACCCAAAACTACCACGGAAATTAAATCTTTCCTGGGACTTATTGGCTATTACCGACGATTTATAAAAGATTTCGCTCACGTTACTAAACCACTAACCTCCTGCTTAAAGAAACGGAATAAAATTATTTTGGATCAAAACTATATCGACGCATTCAATAGATGTAAGGAACTTTTGACACACGCACCCCTATTGCAATATCCCGACTACGACAAAACTTTCATTTTGACGACTGACGCCTCTAACGTCGCACTAGGCGCCGTTTTATCCCAAGGCCCCATAGGTAGCGATAAGCCTGTAGCGTATGCTAGTCGTACCCTCAGCGACACTGAGGCTCGGTATAGCACAATAGAACGAGAATGTCTCGCTATGGTATGGGCCATTAAACACTTTCGCTCCTATTTACATGGGAGAAAGTTCATAATCTATACCGATCACAAACCTCTGGCATGGCTAGATTCCCATAAGGACACCAGCAGTAAACTTACCAGTTGGCGTTTACGACTTCAGGACTTTGACTATGAGATAGTATACAAAAAAGGAAAACAGAATACGAATGCCGACGCGCTTTCCCGTATTAAGGTTAACGTCACAAATTCCGACGACGAAGACCACTCAGTGATAGTAAACGTCGACGATCAGGAACAAAGACTAAAGAAACATTTAGACGAGACAATAGAAAATATTAAAAAATTGACGACTAATAAAAGAACCGAACGTAACGACTCATCGACAACCTCAATCTCTGATACAAGTGCTACCATAACGGCGAGTACCAACCCCGACTTAGACTTCGAAACAATTTCAATCTCAAGCCGCGCGAAAACACCTGGACGACATATTAGATTACCTTCCTAGACAAGTAAGTGCGACACAATTCATTCTGCAATAGACATTGACTCAACCGGTATACCGATTCTTCAAGAGGCTATAGATACGAAACCAAATCAGCTCTTAATATTCACATGGTTAAGAAACGAGATGCAGGTTAGAGACAAGTCGCGTGATAAGCAAAAAATTCTAGAAGTATTTTTACCCACAGGTAACCCTGATTTAGTAAAACGATTTTTGATAGAATACATAAACCCCAAAACTAAGTATTTTATATATTTCAATGACAAAGAGCATCGCAAGCAATTTAGTAGTTCAGTAAAAGAATTATTTAGGAAAAATACAGTGTTGTTATATGAATGTACAGAGCGAGTAGAGTATGTGGAAAGTGAAAACAAACAAAAGGAAATAGTACTTAATTATCACGAAGGAAAGACATGTCACCGCGGTGTTAAAGAAACGTTAGCGAAAATACGAAGAACTTACTTTTGGCATAATATGCACGAAACTGTTTCTGCTATAATTAACGCTTGTGACGTTTGTCGCCAGATGAAATATGACCGTAAACCGATTAAGCCTATGTTACAGCTTACCCAAACGCAAGACGCTCCCTTCCAGGAAATATTTATTGACCTTTTCCAAATTGAGGGACATTACTTTTTAACGCTTATAGACGCATTTAGCAAATTAGGCCAAGCTATTCCAATTGCCAATAGATCCACTGCTGAAGTAGTACGTGCTCTCATGAAGTATTTTTCGTTTTACGGCGTTCCCAAGAAAATTAGCTCAGATCGCGGAAGCGAATTCAATAACGAATTAATGAAAGAATTCTTAAATTTACATAAGGTTGAATTGCATATCGGAACTCCCAATACCCCAACTCCATGGGTCTTATCGAACGGTTACATTCCACCATTAGTGAAATTTACAGGTGTGCAAAATATGAAGAGAGATGTACCGATGCTGCATCTGTCATGATGTACTCCATAATCTCTTATAATCATTCTATACATTCGGTTACTGGGTTAACACCATTCGAAGTAGTATTCGGTCACACGGATTCCGGAAGTCCATTTAACGCAGATTTTGAAAAACAATACGTACAACAGTTAGTTCAGGATCATGCAAAACGAACCAAAGTTTTATACAAATATTTAACAGAAAAAATTATTGAAGGTAAGGGAAAAGCTAGGCAAAGGAAGGGCGGTGAAAGTGAAAGGCAATTCTTAGAAGGAGAAACCATTTTCGCAAAGGATGTAAATAAAAGAAAAAGTAAAGATAAGCCACGTTATGTTAAAGCAAAGGTAACAGGTGAGGTTATTAGGAATATAGTGCCAATACAGGTTGGACAAAGACAGACCAAAGTTCCCCTTAAAATGTAAAACGCCCTCCGCAGGTGGATCGCGGTGATCGTAGTAATGCCGGCGCTAGCCGGCATTACTACGATCTTCAGTCGCTTGAAGGAAAGTTATCCCCGTAATCTCGATCATAGTGATGCACTAAACTATGATAAAATCACTTCAGAACTTGCTCACAATCAGATTATCATTAAAAAGAAATTGACTATAGTTTCTCACATGTTTGATAGCTTTATTAACACCACTGAAGTTTTGAATGAAAACTCCGCTGTTTTAGTCAAACTACTGGCAAAATTTAGTAAAAAAAAAGAAGAGTGTATTAATGTTAAATCTTACCTTAAGCTCAACCAGATCACGTTCATAATGGAGATTCCGCTTACTGACAATATCACTTACACCTATTATAAGATCTACTCATTACCAATTTTCCATGAACCAACAAATGTAACCTTTTGGCAAAGGGTGTGAAGTACTTGCCGATCGTGAAACCATGTCAATCACTTGCTGATGAAGACCTGTTAATAATCTGAAAAATAATCTGGCGCAATATCCCGAACCAACATGCCTCGAACAACTTATAACATTTCGAGATAATATCACATATTGCAAACAACACCCAATCAGCATTGAAGATGTCAGAATTCAACGAATAGCACCTACAAGTTGGATACTATTTTCAAGGCTCAAAACTACCCTTACAAAAACCTGCAGCGATGAAATTAGCAAACATCCTATCTTCGGGACTTACATCATGAATATCAATGAGCCTTGTGATGTTGAGATCCAAGGAATCAAAATTCATCATCACTCTACACTCACTGAAAATGAACCTGTGAAATCAATCCCAATTGTAAACTT